TATTTATTCCTGTCTTCCATTATACACCTCAATCATATCCCCCCTAATTCTACGTCTTTCTAGAGAGTAGCAGTTTCAGGGCCATTAGTCTATCCTCATAGAGAAGGTTTCTGATACATGGGATCATCTTTGTCATCCTCCTTTGTAATTTCCAGAGGAAGAATTTATATCCATTCTGTAATCGGTGACCAAAATGTGCAGCATAATCTTAATTGAGGCCTAAACCAAAGGATGTATAGAGTTGAAAGAACAATCCTGAGGACTCCTATTTTTATGCTTCTGTATGAAGCCAAGATTCTATTAGCTTTCTATGCCGAAACACTTATGCACTGTAGTCTTGGTTTCAGATTACTGCTAACCAAGAACTCTAAATCTTTTTCGCAATCCGTAATATTTAGATCTACATTATTTAGTTTATATGTGGCATGGGTTGGTTATTGTCCTGATCCAAACATTTAGAACTTTGCATTTTGTCTTATTAAAACTGCATCTGCCATTCTCCGACCACTGAAATCAGTCTATTCAAATCTTCCTGGGAGTGTCTGATGTCTCTCAGAATGAATTCTCGCGGCCTATTTGGTGTCATGGCATACTTGCGGATGTCGCTCTTTATGCCCTCATCTTGTCGTTTTGTAGATTGTGAACAGCAGGGGGCCCACACTGACACTGTGGGAACACCGCTCGTGGGACGCTTCCCCACTCTGATTTCTCCCCATTTATTGCAACTCTATGCTGCTATTTGTCAACCATGCCTCCTATCCAGGAAAAAAATTTCTCCTCCTATTCCCATGGCTTAATTTTCCTTCAATAGTCTCTGATGTGGGACCCTGTCAAAAGCCTTACTGAAGTCCTTATACACTATATTTCATATTCATTACCATTGATCTACCTCCTCAAATACCTTAGTGAAAAAAGTTAATAAATTCGTATAAGGCAGGAACGCCCTTTGTAAAACCATGCTGAGATTCGATTGATTAATTTATGCTTTTCAAGGTGGCTACCGGAACTGCCTCGGCAATTATTGATTCGTAATTTTCCCACTATGGGAGGTTAGGCTTATTGGTCTATAGTTCGAAGCTAAGGAACTGTCACCTGTTTTGGAAAATAGGTCTCACTTTGCCATTTTCACTTATTGGCACCATGCTGTTTGTAGTGATTATGTTGAAAAGATTAGCCAAAGTGTGCTAAGCTCCTCTTTACATTCCCTTAGAACCTTTGCATACAGTTTCATCTGGGCTGGGGAATTTGTTAGGTTTTAATTTATCTATTTGGCCTAAGGACATGTCATTGTGACCCTAATAGTGCCAGTTTATTATCGTCTTGTTCTACATTATTTATCATTACTGGAATAATCGCTGGTTCCTCCTGTGTAAAAACTGAGAGAAGGTATGTGTTAAATAATGTCTACACATTTCCATTATCACTGTCAGTGAGCTGACCCGAGGAAACTTTTGACGTGGGCCTATCTTGTCACTGATCTACTTCTGTATACCTGAATGATCCTGTTGGGGTTTTAGTCTTCGATTCTCTTGTCAACTTTAACCTCATTATCTCTATTTGTTTTCTAATTCCCTTTTTTATTTCGCTCTTTAACTGATTATATCGATTTCTTAATTGCCCCTTCTCTCTTTTGATTTGCCTATATATGGCCTCTCTTTTGACCAATCAGATATTTTAATCTATTGTTCAAATCATTTAGGATCATTTTTGTTGTGTCTGATTTCCTCCTATTTGTACTTAATTTGACTCTTCCACTTCCCCAGCTGAGCAGCTAGATATGCCCTGGAAAGCAATTCATTATCGGCAACCATCACACCTACCTGGACCCCTAGTCAGGTCAATTCCAGTTCAGCCCTCCTAAGTAATATTTTTTCAGTCTATGAATCAGCATGCGAATAAGTCTAGGGAACATTGGAGACTGGTTGCCATTATTAGGGGAATTCCATGATATGTTAAACTGAAGGATTTGTGATCACTCTCCCCAAGCTCATCATTAAACCTCAAGATTTTAATTAGTGTTCCTACTGGAAAGAAAACCAACGTCAGGTGGTTATTTCCCTAGTTGGGCTCTGTCACAAACTGTTTTTTAAAAAACAATACCTGGATCGTATCAAGAATGTCAACCCGACTCAAATTTCCTGTCAATTGCGCCAGTCAATATGTTCTATAGTTGAAATCTCCCATTAGCACAAACATTTTCGTATGTAGATGCCATTAAGAATTTGTCCCATAGAAGTTTACTCATCCCTATCAAGATATTGGGGCCCTGTAAATCACACCCAAAATTAGTTTTTTTCTCGGCCCTCGAGAAGCTGATAACCAAACAGGTATTCAGTGGCTGACGCTTCTTAATTTTAATTATATTGTCAACACAACAATTTAAATTGTCTCTGACATTCATCGCTACTCCACCACCTTTCCTGTTGACCCCGTCAGTGTGGAATTAATTTTTAGCCTGTATGTGACATTCAGAGGGCATCTCTCTACTTGCAGATTGAGCCAGGTCTTGTTATACCAATATTATCTATGTTTCCTGCACTTGCAATTAATCTTAGCCTCATCTATCTTATTCTCTATACACTCCTGCTATTTGTATAGTAAACCTAAGGGAGCTAGTCCCTTGCTGCCCTCTGGCTGTCACCTTTGTTTGCTGACCTGTTCTATTGTTTTATTTATAACTTCATGCTGAATGCATTTTATACATTCTACTGTTTCCAACCCTAGTGTTGGCAACCTGCTTGTTTTCCCACACACACCCATACCTCTATTCTTCCATCAGTTTAAAATCATAGGCATTTCACCAATGCCTTCTCAATCGAGTCTGCAAGTGCTACCACCCCGGCCCTGAGAGGATGTACCCCATCCCTTGCATACATATCATGTTTGCCATAAAAGTTGTTCCTGTTGTCAATGAATGGGATATTGCAAGTTCCTTGCAGTTATCTGTCTAGCCTGCATTTTACACCAATTTGCCCTAGACCAAACCATTCATTTCCTACTCCCCTTCTAGGCAAAGATGCTTACATATGATGGGATCCTCCCTTAGACTTAATGTATCTATTAGCTGACCTGTACTTATCTAGCAGCTCTTTCTCTCCTACCTTCCCAATATCATCTTCCACCAAGCACTGAGACAGATATAGGCTGTTGCCTTTACCTGAATGATATTATCCAGCCTGTTGAACAATGTCCCCAACAACAGCTCCAGGGAAGCACACTCTATCTCTCATTTCTTCTTATTCCTATTAACAAAAAGCACGGTCACATATCTTACATAGAGTCACCAACCACAATGAATGTGGCTTACTTCATTAGAGGGGCAGTAGTACCCTTACTTCCACTGGCCACTGAAGTACATTCATCCTGGGAGAACAGGAAGCGATTTCCTACCTTCATATCTTCTCTCTTAACTTTCCTTACTCTGATGGCCTCCCTATTACTGTGAAACAACATCGCACTTTAGCAGGTTGCGGGCTGCACCTCCACTGCTGGTACGCCGTTGCTACCTCCCACCTACAGCCTCCTCTCAGTGAGAGACAGACTGCACCTCACTGCTAGAAAGCCCTCTTCCCAACATCTCAACCACCTCACACTCTCTCCCAGGCCCCCTGAAGGGGACATTCAGCCTCCTAATCTCCTCCTGGAGAAGCAAGACCTCCTCCTTCAACTCTCCAACTCAGTTTTTAAAACACTGTAGACAAGCAAGCACATGCTTTGTAAACCGTTACGCCTAATCCCAAAGCAGCTCGGGTTCTGTGACCTCCGTGACGACTGACCCACTCTGACAATACATTGGGACCCCCGCATAACAATTACCTCGTAAATGCGACCAATTATGTAAGTGTATTTATGTAGTGCGTTTGTACGTGTATGTTTGGGAGTCTGAAATGGACTAATCTACTTCACAAGTATTCTTATGGGAATAAATTCGGTCAGTACTGGCACTGTCATACTTATGGGAGGTGAAAAAAAATCGTTAAACGGGGGTCTCCACTGTATCTTTCAAATGTTGTGAAAAAAAAAACGTATATATACGTTTGGACCGTTTACGGGTTAATGTTAGCAGCCTGAAAAAATGAAGGAATGTCTATAATTAAAAAACCCATTGAATTAGTTGCAACACTGTAAAGAGTAATATTGTAAAGTGGAGCATCCTGTACGCTCAAACTCATGAAAGTAAAATATGATGTGAAAGATACCAGGTTACAGGTGGGATAGAACCCATTCCAAGTGGAGGTAGTAAAAAACTCCAGGTTAGTGTTGTTAAGCCACAGGATCCAACTGTTTCTTCGTGATTATATACACACAATAGTTTTACATTATCAGTATTTTTTAAGATTAAAGTATTGTTGACTGGTGGGTAACAGGTGACCTGCAGCCTTAATGCCCTATTGTAGTAGATAGACTTTAAACCACATTAACCATCCAGCCAGTCTTAATGACCCTGGTGTAGTAGATAGACTTTAAACCACATTAACCATCCAGCCAGTCTTAATGACCCTCTTGTAGTAGATAGACTTTAAACCCAATTAACCAGTCAGCCAGTCTTAATGACCCCCATGTAGTAGATAAACTTTAAATCCCATTAACCACCCAACCAGTCATAATAACCCTTGTATAGTAGATAGATTTTGAACCTAATTAACCAACCAACCAGTCTTAATGACCCTCGTTTAGTATATAGACATTTAACCCCACTAACTAACGAACCAGTCTTAATAACCCTAGTGTAGTAGATAGACTTTAAACCACATTAACCATCCAGCCAGTTTATTGACCCTGGTTGTAGTAGATAGACTTTTTAAACCCATTAACCATCCAACCAGTCTTAATAACCCTGGTGTAGTAGATAGACTTTAAACCCCATTAACTAACCAGCCTTAATGATGATCGTATAGTAGATAAACATACAATTCTACTACACCTGATGATAATAAAATAAATAATAATAATAATAATAATAATAATAATAATAATAATAATAATACTTTTTTTAACAGGAGAAGACTGACCATGAATATGAGATTGTTGATGTACCTGCACGAGCCTTTAGTGTAAGTACTCTACCGTGTTAGTACTCTACCTTGTTAGTACTCTACCTTGTTAGTACTCTACCTTGTATGTGCTCTACCTTGTTAGTACTCTACCATCGTTGTAACTCTACCTTGTTAGTTACTCTACTTTGTATGTTGCTATACCTTGTTAGTACTTACCTTGTTTGTACTCTACCTTGTTAGTACTTACCTTGTATGTGCTTCTACCTTGTTAATTAGTACTTACCATGTTAGTACTCTACCTTGTTTTGGTACTCTACTTTGGTATGTGGCTCTACCTTGTTAGTACTCTCCTTGTTAGTACTCTACATTGAAGTACTCTACCGTTAGTACTCTACCTTTGTGTTAGTATCTACCTTGTTAGTACTCTACATTGTAAGTACTCTACCCCTTTTGTTAGTACTCTAACTTGTTAGTTACTTACCGTCGTTAGTACTCTACCTTGTTAGTGCTCTACCTTGTTAGTACTCTACCTTGTATGTGCTCTACCTTGTTAGTACTCTACCTTGTTAGTACTCTACCTTGTTAGTGCTCTACCTTGTTAGTACTCTACTTTGTATGTGCTCTACCTTGTTAGTACTCTACCTTGTTAGTACTCTACTTTGTATGTGCTCTACCTTGTTAGTACTCTACCTTGTTAGTACTCTACCTTGTTAGTGCTCCTACCTTGTTAGTACTCTATTTGTATGTGCTCTACCTTGTTAGTGCTCTACATTGTTAGTAATCTACCTTGTTAGTACTCTACCTTGTTAGTAATCTACCTTGTTAGTACTCTACCTTGTTAGTACTCTACCGTGTTCGCATCGCTATTGGGCCGTGCGGACGTTTTGTGCTTGGCAGTTAGCCTCCTATTTGAGTTGAGCCTTTGCGCAGTGTTGCGTGTACTTGGTCTGTGAAGACCTGTTTGCGACGCTTCTAGAATTGAAGCAAGATGCCTCCATCGAGCAACTTTACAACGCTTAAGGAAGTAATTGAGGTTGGGAATATGGAAATTCGGCGACTGACGAGAAAAACAGAAGATTCGTAGTTAGTCCTACTGTTTTGAGTCCTCAGGTACAAGAAGGGAAACTGGTCAGTGGCTGGACAGCAGGAAAGAAGTTGACGATCAAGAAGACGAATGGAAAGGTAGAAACGATGGAAGAAGAAAGCAGGACGCCGTGGAAAAATGTTGTGGAAACATCATACATTCTCAGGTGCTACCGACGTGTGAGTTGAATACTGGGAACGAGACGGACGAATAAGTCATTAAGGAAGGTAAGAATATTGTTGTTCGTTGGGGATAGCCAGTTAGGTATATGGATAGGGCGTTTCTGCTTGAAGGACAGGAGTAGGGACAGGGAGTTTTGGCTTTCTTTACTGGGGCTGGGATGGAGGATATTCTGTTAGCCGTCTGGATGAACATCATGAAAGGTAATGGGAAGCAATCCTATTATCTCGTCTCAGTGCTGGACGGCAACGTTTGGCAGAGTAGGAGTGAGGACCTGATTAGCAGGTATAGCTGTCAGCAATAGGAAATAATAAGAAGTAAGGGGTGGGAACCCTTCATATGTGGTATTTTGCCAAGGAGGGGTGTTGGAAAAATGAATGGTTGTCAGGGCAATGGTGTTCAATTTGCTGGCTGGACAAATACTGTAAGGAAAAAAATGCAGTAACATTCATTGACAACTGGGACCTCTTCTATGGCAGAAATGACATGTTTGCCTAGGGATGGGGTTCATCTTACTAGGTGTGGGTGGGGCACTGGCCAACTGCAGTTGTGAGGGAGGCAGTTAGGATTTAAACTTAGGAATAGTTAGTGGTATGGGTTTTGGCAGGAAAGCAGTGAAATGAAAGTCCCAGTGTAGTATGTAGTAATATTACGAGTTCTGGGGAAAACTAGTTAATATAGAACGAGATAGATATTGAAAAGCCAGGGGACCTTGGGTGATAAGGACAGTAAATAGGTTTAGTAGAAAAAAAATAGAAATGAGCAGGAAGGGTAAAGAGAAAGGAGAGTCTTCTATGTTTATTATGCTAATAGCCGTTAGTGCTAGGAAATAAGATGGACGAGTTGAGATTAGTTGCTAGTGTAGGTAATCATTGATGTCTTTTCATTAAACTGAGACAGGTTTAATTCATAAGTCGGGAATGCCTGCGGAATGTCATATTCAGGGTTTTAAATTGTTCCAAGAAAGAAGATTAGAAAGAAATAGAAGTATTGGGAGGGGGGGGTGGGTGGGGTGCATTGTCTGTCCGAGATCGCTTGAACTGTTGCATAAAAACGGGTATTAAGTCTGAAGTAAACATACAGAATTCTGTTTGGATAAGAATTTTCAGAGGGGCATGAAAACTGATTTTAGAGTGAATATACCGTCCCCCAAAACTTAATAGGGCCAAGGGAAACTACTATGGGAGGAAATGTTAAGGCCACAAGTGCACGATAATGTAGTGATTCTAGGAGACTTTAAACTTTAGTCATGTTTGATTGGAATTTCTTGGACTGGAATGTAGATCTACGATTCTTAGAAGTATTTCAGGATTGTTTTTTGAAGAGTTTGTGACAGACCCTACAAGGGGAAATAAACTGCTTGACTTAGTTATGGCAAACAATCGATTCCTTGTTAATAATTTAGAAATTTCAGGAGGAACGGGTGCTAAGCGACCCACAAATCAATTACATTTTGCATGAATGAAGTACGATAGATATCGATACTCAAGTTATCAGTCCCAGATTTTCGACTTAGCAGATCTTCGATTGGCTTAGAGAACACTTATATCTGTTGGACTGGGGGTTAACGAAGAGTGCTATCAATATGACAGTTTTTTCTGACACTGTACATGCTGTCAAAGAGCGTTTATCCCATATAAAGAAATTAGATCAATTAGAAATGACCCAAAATGGTTGATTAATAGGCTCAAAATATCTACTTAGGGCATAAGAAAGGAATTTATAGCGTATCAAAAAGAGGTGAGGGTCATTTATGAATCAGTATATTGACATTAAGAGGGACATTACAATGGGGATATGAAAAGCCTAAAAGGGACTATGAAATTAAAAGTTGCAGGGATTCTAAAACTAACCAAAAAGTTTTTTCCAGAGTCTATAGAACAAAAGTTAGTGATAAGATATGTCCCCTTAAAAAATAAAAATATGGGCACCATTACTGACAAAGTGAATTGAAATGTGATTGATTTTAATATTATTTTCTACTCAGTTTTTTCACGCGAAGGACTACTAACAATATTCCGTAATTTAATTTTTACAGTGGGTAGAACGAAGATAATTATGTAACATCACATTCACAGTTGGATGGTTGTTGAGGTAGATAGACAGACTGAAGCAAAATAAGGTCGGGGGGCCGGGGGTCATTGATGAGGTTTTTCAAGGGTCTTAGGAATGGCAAAATGGAACTTGTGAACATTAACTAAGATTTTTAATTTATCTCTTCAAAACAGGTGTAGTGTCTGTATGTGGAAGATGGTGGCAATGTAACTCTATTTTTAAAATCAGAGGACAAAGTCGTTACCGTCAATTTACCGCCCAATAAGCCTGACCTCAATTGTAGGCAAATTACTAGAGTCATTTATAGCCTGAGATTAATAAGAAAAGCAATCTCGATAAAGCATAGCTTGGATTACATGTTACTCAGCTTGGATTCACAAGAGGCGGTCTTGTCTAAACTTTTATTAATTTCTTCAGTAAGCTTTTGAGGCTGATGACCACAATAAAGATTTTGATCAATTAATTACTAGATTTTAGTAAGGCTTTTGATAGAGTTCCGCCACCATAGACTGTTAAAGGAAAGTGGCAGCTCATGGCATTGGGGGAAAAGTGCTCTCGTGGATCTGAGTCATGGCTCATGACAGGAAGCAGAGGTGTGTCCATAAATGGGGTTAATCGAGTGGGGATTGTAACAAGTGGCGTTCCACAGGGATTCAGTCTTGGGCCCGTTTGTTTGTTTATAATTATATCAATGATCTTGATGAGGGATTTACTAGTGATATGAGCAAAGTCGCCGATGACACAAAGATAGGTAGGATAATTGATTCAAACGTAGATGTTAGGGAATTCTGGAGGATTATAAACAAAACTCTATTCTGGTCAGAAAAGTGGCAGAGCTCAGTCAATGTAGTTAAATGCCAAGGTTCTGAACTTGGGAGTGCCCATAACCTAGTACTTATAAATTAAATGATGTAGAAACTTAGCCATACAGATTGCGAAAAGGACTTGGGGGTTATTGTTGAGCAGCAACCTTAAACCCAGACAGCAATGCCTTAAGCGTACGTAATAAGGCAAATAGAGTACTGGGATTTATATCAAGAAGTGTAAGGCAACAGAAGTCCAGAGGGTCATTACTGCCAGCTTTATACATCATTAGTAAGGCCTCACCTAGATTATGCAGCTCAGTTCTGGTCTCCCGTATTAAAAATGGAATAAATCGTTTAGAAACATTAGCGTAGGATGACTAAATAATACATAGCATCAGAAATCTTCCCTTATGAATGAATAGATTGAAGGACTCATTAGTTACATTCACTTGTTAGAAGAAGAATGAGGGGAGGAGACCTGATCGAAGTGTATAAGTGGATGATAGGTATTAATAAAGGGGATATTAATAAGGTCATTGAGGAGGTTCTCCAAGAGAGAACGCGCAGATAAATGGATTTAAATTAGATAAGTTTAGAATTTAGGAACAGGACTTAGGAAAGTATTGGTTTGGAAATAGGGGTTAGTTGATTGAGTGGAACAGTCTTAACCCTAGTTGGGGTTATTGAGGTGGGACTTTGGTAGTTTCAATTTCCCTAGGTTGGTAAGTACATGAGTGGGAATGGGAGGGTTTGGATTTGAGTGGGACTTTCACATCAGAGCCATATTTCTTGGGGTGGCACTGAAAATTGGGTTGGGCCAAATGTTTGTGTTTGTGGGCACCACATGAATTGTAAAGGACTTATGCCCTCTAGTATGGGCCAGCAGGCCTCCTGCAGTGTTCCTCCTTTCTTATGTTCTTATGTGTTAGTACTCTACTTTGTTAGTACTCTTC